AACCCTATTTATCTAGTAGCGACTAAGTACTGTAGACATGACTTATTGACTTGCCCTGTTCTGCCAACAGAAGAGCGAACATGATAGGCATGCAATGTCTACTTTCACTGCTTATAACAAGTGTAAAATTATTAAGTCGTAAGTGAAAAAAGCTGTTCCTTCAATTTAAAACGGCAGTCACTTTGAGAATAAAGTAACCCTTTAGTTGCCTATCATTATATTTGTAGTGAGGTCGCTGACGCCAAAACGGGCTGGCTTTCTCTATCTTCAAATTTAACCGCTGTACTTTAAACTTGTGTGTTCGACCCTCGACGAACGCCTTCGATATAGCGTCACCCACTCCTCCCCTCCTCGAGGGAACTATCAAGCCTCTGCATTCCACTTAAGCATGTTAGTCACGTGATAAGAAAATCTTTACCGCAACTCGGAAGTGCTGAATGTTCTAAAACTATGTCTCATTGTTACTTGTAGTGGTGGCAGTTTTGCTGAACATTCAACAAATAACTTTTGAGTCAGAAAAAGAAAGAGAAATGTTCAGTGAAATACTTATGTAAAAGCGTTTCGTGACTCTCTGAGCACATTTGAATTTTGCGTGACAAGTTATAAATACTGAGTCACGGTGTCTAGACTTATATTTCCCCTAAGATTAAACGAGCAAACATTCAAGGCAATCACCCACCATGGATCAATCCTTCAGTTCAAAAGGAAAATGTCTCAGGAATCACTTCCATTGACAATTTCACTGATCTCCAACAAATAAAACTTGGAATGATTACCAATAACGGCGATAAAGTCACAGAAATGAAACGAAAATCGATGAGGGATTTCCGTGACGAAGCAGCATCTGGTTCATTCCCTGACCTCCCCTGGTTCTGCTGTTTCCTTCTGGAAAAATCTGAGGCCGTTATTTAACAAAACGGCAAGTCAAGTGGCAGTTCTAACTCAACCCTTTTAATTCAGAAAACCTGCGTAGCTCTGAACACATGAGCAATCTTTTATGATGTCACCATTTCACCACTAACCGAAGAAGTATTCTTGGAGCTACCTGTGGATGATTTTCCCAGTCACACGAGTGTTATCAACATTTAGGAGAAAACACCTACTCTTGAACTTTATTTTCTCCTTGTTGAAGAGGCACAGGTTTACCAAACTCTTCTGATGTAACTTTAGTAAATCTCAGCTGGTCCTGGTGGCAAACCTTACCATCTCATCACAAATAGTCCATACTCATGAAGATGTCTTCTTAGTAACTCAACCAAAACCAGGGTCAAAATTTTTGTATTTAAATAGACTGCAGTGTTCTACAAAGATTTCCAGCCCTGAGAAAATAATTTTAGGCGGGTTTGATGTCCCTACTCAGCGGCTAACACGTCACTCGCTTTTTGCACCATTTTGTCAGGTTGATGAATTCATGGCCGAAGAGTTCACAGTTCTCAAACCGAGGTCGTTTATACAAATTTTCTCAGATTATAGCTGCTAAGACACTAAGAAGGTTGCATTGCTAACAGACAGTGACATTCAAAGAGAATTGAAAGTTATGCCCACGGATTCCTTTTTTGATGATTCAAAGCATCTTTTCATGTTGAGCGTTATCGCCCATGCCCTTTGTGACTTTTTTTTTCTAGGATTGTGGATTCTCTTTCCCGTCATACATAATAAATTCGACTCTTCTTGGCAGTTTATTATAGGGCCTAATTTATTGACACGATAAACAAAATATTACACCATTGTTTGTAGATATGGAATTCCTCTTCGGGTGTCCATCTTGACCAACTTCTTCGCGCAGAAGTTAACAAAATTAAGACACCAACTACCTGCACTGAACCCCTTCCACCCCCATCCGAGTTCATATCACAGTCCTACCCCTATGTCAAAGGCCTCTCCGAACGACTTCACTGCTGTCTACAAAAACAAGGCATTCGCGCTGTTTTCGAGTCAGAGACTACGCTAAGATCACATCTAGTACGCCCAAAGGAGGCCATCGACCCGGCTAAACAGGATGGCGTAGTTTACAGGATTCCCCGTGCGTGCCGTAAGGTAAACATCGGAGAAACTGGCAGACCTTTGCAGGAGAGCATCAAGTAAAACGACAGGGATATCCGACTCGCTAATGGGTATAGATATATTTTCAAAGTTCAAATACATTATGGAAACAGTAGCCTTTACTTCTTTTGAGTCAAATTTAATACCTTAATTACGCTATTTAAGTATCTTCTTTTTTTTTATCCCGGAATTTAACTAAAAAGAAAACGACCGGTTGTGAAAGTGTTTAGAACTACGAAAGGGACTTTTAAAAATAATTGAAGATAATTTTTAAAATTTCTGTTTTTTGTAACGGAAAGAAACAAACTGTTAGCCTTAACAAAGCCAAAGTTTTAACTGTAAGGTGGAAAAATCATCACCCATTCACACATTCAGAGCTCTCTTCCAACGTGTCTAAGTCATGGTCAACTATGTTCCTATACTCCCATCTGTAAGGAACTTATTAACCATTAAGGGCGGACTTGAGAGTGCGCGGTGTATATCATGATCAGTTTTTCACAAACTGAAACTATAAGCCACAAATGTACACAGCTGTGTATTTATTAACCCATTCGCAATGATTCCTGTTTATCATAATTCTTTCTTATTTTATTACTGACAATATCCGTCTTACCAATGTGATTCTTTCTCAATCACATTCTACTCAATCTATCTTGCAGATTCTTTATGGTTTGTTCATCTTGTTGTTGTTTTCGTTTAGCAGCATCTATCTTCGTTTGAAGTTCTCTTTGTTGCCGTAAATATCTTTCTTTCTCAGCTGTCGACCTTTCCCTCGCTGCGGATATGGCGGCTTCGGTTTGCTCTTTCTGTGCTCGCATTTGTTCTTCAACCATGCGTTTGATTTTCCTTTGATCTTCGACGTGCTTCTCTTCTAAGCGAGTTATCTGAGATACAAAGACCATGGGTTTGTATTTTGTTATCAATTCACAAGACGACTTATGCTGGAGAAATTTGATATAGACTACCCTTTAAGCATAAAGTGCCTTATAATACGAATCAGAAACAAAAGTGGAAAAGTTTAAATGAAGGTATAGTATCAGTAAGGTTTTCTTCTCCGAGACACAGAATGGAAACAAGAAATGTCCTAATTATCACCTTAACTTTACTATGCATTGCAGACAGTAAAAAAAAATCGCAGTAGCAAGAACTACTGCAAATTTAAAACATATCGTTCAACGTCTCTTCTCAGATAAATGAAGGATAGCGAGTTTCTCTAGGATATAAACGTCTGACCTCTATGAAAAAAAAAATGTAGTTTTTATTGCCCTCTACTTTGTTCCAAACACACCACGGAAAACTTTGGTAAAGTTGATAAATTTTTATCGATAGCTCTTACCATTCCTTCCATTTCTTCTCTGTCTTCTACCAAATGCAAATTCTTAGCCTGAAAAAAAGAAAGATAAAAATGAAAAAATAACTGAAAGAAAAGAGTTAAGGCGAAAGGAAAATATTTGAAAACGTATTACTTTGCTACAGGAAATTTATCAGCTGTCTTTCAGTAAGATAAAGGAAGTATCCAAAATTAAAAACCCAAAATAACTTGTTTATTCAAATCTTGTATTTCGCGCAAAAATGGAAAAAATTTTTTTGTTCTTCAGCGTAAAATACAACAATAAAATATTGGAATTACTGTTATTCTCAAATATTATTGTTTCGAATCTGTATCATTGCATGTAGCCATATCGAAAGATAAACGATAATTAAGAACTATTTACAGAAGTGGTGAATAGAAATTGTTATCCACTTCCAAACTAGCCAATCAGTGTGTACGTAAAGCACTATTCACGTATATGATATTTAACAATTATTCGCCGAAGGCGAGGTAAATATTGTCGAATAATCCCCGAGACGAAGTCGAGGGGATTATTCGAGAATATTCACCGAACCTGANTATAATACAAACACAACTGTTGGTGTTTATAGAGGTCAATAAACCTAAAGCAGTCAAAAACAACATCTATAGTCACCGTGACATGTTGAAGGACTTAAGCTAACACGTAACATGTTTAACAAGTAACATAGCGACGAAGTTGTACGAAAAATAAGTAATTGTATGTTGCTCCTTTTCATTTGTTTTTAACTTCTGTATTTCCTCCCTTCTCTTGTTGGTTTTTGCAGTAGGTGCGTAGTTAGCAAGCAAAACCCGCTACTCATTAACTGCGGTGATGGTAAGGTAAGGGAGTTATAGCGAATAGCATGAAAACGGAAGATTTATTGTCCATTGAACGAGAAAACTGTTCCTACCAACTCATAGATGTAAGCCAAGTTTGAACATAAGCTTTTGTCTCCTTTGGCCTGTTGTCTGAAGTCGCTGTCAAGTTTTTGATAAACAGACCTTAAACGCTCTTCCAAAATCAAAAAGTCGTGATCATTTGGATCATGGACGTCTTTCAGGACTGGATCCAACCACACCACGCGTAGTGTTTTCATCAGGTCATTGCACTGTTCCTCGGTCAGATTGTTGTTCTCTCTTAACAAAGCACTCTCAGCTTCGTCTGCATAGTTCTAGAGACACAGAGGTAATAGAATTTAGCGGTGGCAACTTCACAGAGTGGTTCTCAATCTACCGTAAAGTGGCGGAATTCGGGGTGGAATTCCGTGCGAAGGGAGTAGCACCGTTGAACCCTGGGAAAAACCCTCAAAGAATGAACGGGAACCAACGACAAACCCTCCCTGCATGTCACAGCAGGAACAGGAATCGCGCACCGTTGAACCCTGGGAAAAACCCTCAAAGAATGAACGGGAACCAATGACAAACCCTCCCTGCATGTCACAGCAGGAACAGGAATCACGCGCACCGTTGTACTGCAACTGTCAAACATCTGCGCATGTGTTAATTCTGTAATGACTAGGTGACGTGCTGTCAGGCTGTCGCAACCAATTTGTCTCATATAGACGACAAACAACTACACAAGCCAGAAAGTTACGGTGTTTTAGAAGCGTAAACCTTGTAAAGCTCAAAACAGAATTATGGTAAATTAGCAGGATACCTATTCTTAACAACCTTCGTTTTCGAAAAATCTCGAGATTTTCCTTTTCCTTATAGTTGTTTGATTTGAAATTTCTATAAATGGCTCAATTTCTCAGAGGTTGTTTCTTATGTTTTCCTTAGAGCTTTTGCGTGGGAAATTGGCGCGCGGGCACCCAAAATTGATCCTCTGGCGCAACACGGAAGTCCCACAAGTGGCCGCTATGAAACTAATCCAAAAAAATGTGTAGGATCCTAAGATGAAGAGTGAGCAAGCGACAAGCGGGAAAAAACATTGACCTTGCACAGCCAGAACAACAACAGACAGTAGAAGCCAATGTGCTTGATTCAACCTTTCTGTAATAGAAAATTACATGTGTCTTAATAAAAGAATTAGAAGCATCAACGTAAACATCTAAACAATTTGATATATGAGAGATATCGGCTGGTAGGACTCTCCAATGGAGAACATAAGCGAAAGTTCTTCACTGGTCAGGTAACGTTGTTAGAACCGTCTGTCTACCATTGTTGTCTATCAAAAGAACTTTTTTTGCCTTATTTTAGATTTAAACACGGTGTGAACAAACGCACAACTATAAACGAGCTAAATATAATCTTTGTTGGTTAAAGTTCAGCTAAATGAACCAAAATATTAAAATCGAAGTTATTACTTACCGCTAACTCCTCTATGTACATCCACCTGGCCATTACTGCCGCGTCTTCTGCTTCAGTCTCGAAAAAAGTTAAAGCTTCTAACAAATAATCTTGATGAGCACTTCGAATCTTTTTGTCGTCACAAGGAAGACGCACCTTTTCTTTGAATTCTCGTATCCCTCCACTGAAACAAAAATGGAACAAGCTGAAATACTGCCGATATGAATCGACCTTTATCTTAGATCTTATACAATCAACTTTGATTGACAGACTAAGCAGAAATATAATATTTCAGCGTTGTTCTGCATTTCAAGTCAGCTAGCATCTGTAGCTGTATTTCGTTCCAGAGTTGCAGTTCTTTTGTACTGATCAAGGGAATAACAAACTGTAGAGTAAAACCAACTTATATGAGATCTGTAAAGGCTGATAGTTTCTAAAGAAACTGTTTGGGGCTGCGTCGGTGGGGGTAACGAAATAATTTGAATATATCAAAAAAGTTGAAATGGTAAATTGGCCACCGTTACGATTATAAAAGCTGACGTTTCGAGCNTATTTTGGCAACTGTTTCAACATTACTTACTCGTACACAGCTTTAGCATCGTTTAGAGTCTGGGTACATTTGGTTTTAGTGAACACGTTCCATGCACTCTCCACAACTGGAACAGCGCCAGGTGAATTTGCAGCTCGAACATATTCCTCCACCAGTGTTGCTAGAGCTGAAAGTGTAAACAACACTAGCAGGTAAATGATTGTAAAACGTTTCATATAGCTCAAAATTAAGATCACTATCTTATTGCTCCTATCCTCTAAGACCACCTAGTGCCAGAGGGTGGAAAACATCTCCACGACCGCATGTCAACTAATCCAAAATTGCATCTAATGTGGGTATATTTGAAGATTTTAATGTTTAGTTTATAATGAAAGAAGGGGAACTGCCCGAATCAATTAGGGAAAAAAATCTGAGAGAATGTTGGAAAGGGAAAGTTTTAGAGAAATAGTCCCTGTCATTTGGTTTATGTGTATGAAAACTACCCCATTTTTCCACATTTCCCTAGACTATCCATCATTCCGATATACTCGTCTCCGCTTGAGAAATATTCGTACTAGAGTGCCAAACTGTCCCAAGAAACATTAAAAAAATTTGCCAACCTTCTCCAGTAACAAATCCTTGTCCAAGAAAACTTTTTTTGGGAGTTAGTTTTGAGTGCAACATCTGTTTGAACTCTTCCACTCCTTTCTTAAATGATGAGCTGATCTCCCCCTGCTTCCCTTTCTCATTTAAGTTTTGTATAACAGTAGCATCTGATGACGGAGGGGAGAGGGGAAAGGCGTCAAAGTCAGGAAAGAACTTCAGAATGTTGTCGACGACCTCTTGAGACTTTCCACTAGGCCGACCTCGCACCTTGAAAACCTAAATGACAGAAAGCATGAATAACTTAAGAGTTTGGATGCACACTAACACCACGTGAAAAGTGCTTTCTTTGCAAATTTGTTGTCGGGGTCTGTTACCAGCGATCTTTCGACAGTAAATAGATCCAAATTCGACAAAATACAATTCACGAATGCATAACTGGCAGAATTACAACTTCTTTTACTTTCCACAGCAGGATACAGAAGCAACAGGATACAGAAGCAACAGGATACAGAAGCAACAGGATACAGAAAGAACCAGATACAGAAAGATCCCGGACAAGTTTGGTCATAACCGTTTCTATAATTTCTGACCACCGTCCCGTTCCGCTCATCCAACGGCATGTTGTGAACTTTTATGGTAGAGTTACCTTTTCAAGGAAATACGGTTTTAAGTTTGCCACACCCTTGGGAAGACTTAACACAACATCTCTGAGCAGCCACACAAACGAAGGAAATACTTTCTGTGAAGCCTCTTCGTCTAAAGGTTTTCCTGAGATCACTTGAATCCGTTGGGAAATCTTGATGATGTGACTAGCATACGTTAAGGTATCTAAACATTCTATTTCCTGTCATTTCATAACCTGCACCACTTCGTGGAAGGTATACATTAGGAAAAACCTACTCTTATGAAAGACTACAAGAGCTAGCTAAACATAACTTTATGAGATTTCACATGCAAGGAAGAGATATTTGGGTGCTATAGGAAGATTCATTACTCGGCGAGGGAATTCCGCATTAAATTGCACTTGAAAACCGACATCCCACGAATCGCGAAGCCATCAGTGCGATATCAGTGTTTTTGAAGTGCAATTTGACGCGAAATTCACGAGTCAGGAGTAGTATAGACTCCCTATACTACTGTCAGGTAATGGATTTTCCTCAAATCGCATAATTGTGTAAGAATTGAAAAAAAAAGAAAGCAGTATTTTTTTTGTATACTTAGATACGAAACAATATCACTTAACCTCGTTTTCAACTCGCAGTTCCACGCTAAATACCTCGTTTCGTTAACAAATCAGAATGCGCGATTTTATTCAATGATGCGATTCTAGAACGATTTTCAACTGAACCAGTGCGTGTTTTTCGGATTGAAAGCAGGCATCGAGTGATAGATAGGTACTAACAAGCGATAACAGAAGCAGACTTAGATTAATAAGAAGTGAATTGAATTAAAAAAGGATACTCAAGTCCCTCAAGATCTGTTCTGGTGGGGACGCCAACAGAATTGTAAATTAATACGGAGCTCAAGAGAACGCTGAGTGTAAATATGGCGTGATCATTGACGCCCTCTGCACTCACTGCATCGATTCCCTCGGAATCCAAAAGCACAACGGTAAACTCTCTACCTTGAGTATCCTTGTATTTCTCTGGTACCACCCACAGCCATATTCCCATGGTCTCCGGATCAAACGAATGCCCCAGGGGGAACACGTCCCCTTGGTCGAACGCTCTGCTGAGCATGTACGATTTTCCCCTCCTGCATGGGCCGGCTATTGACACCACGCACACTGGTCCCCCGATGGACCGAAGTTTCCGCAGTGCTGGGTGTACCGGCTGAAGTCCCGTGCGGGGCTGACTCGAGTCGCGCTGGAACGCTCCCGATGTTTCATCCCAGGTGCAGTTGTTTGGTATGCACAATGGAATGGCTGCCATTTTACTCCCTGTGCCTCGTATCTGAATGGAATTCCTATATAATTTCATGTGTAAAGCACTGATTAGGCCTTTTTCCATGTATACATAACCTCATCTACATTCGAAGGGGCCAGGAGCTTTCGAGACATCGAGACAAACCCTCGAGTTTTCAAAGCTCTCGAGAAAGGCTCTCTATTGCCGTAAAAAATTCTTCACTGAATGACGCTCTCATCTAAAACGTTACAGCCGTTTTAAATAACTCACATCTGAACACACCTACCTACTAATTAGCACGCGTCTACTATCTTAAACAGATTATATCAAATGAAAGTTCAGGGCCGAGTCGGTAGCAATGTCGAAACAAAAGTGCCTTGGTACGCTCTTAGCCCAACCCACCCCTCCCTCCTACATAACGTCATCCAAACTCCTATCCCTACCCACCAACTACCAAAAGACACCACGGTTATGAAATACACAATGCATTGCCACCTAAAAAAAGAACCAAAACGACCTCTGAATATGCTTACAAATTTTGATGCATTTCAAAGAATTTTTGTACTCAAGTGCCGACTTTTCAAACGCATTCATGGCCACGGAGAGTTTGAATTTGCTTCTCGTGTATGTGTAATTTCGTGGATTGCGTGACAAAAATCGATGGCCGTGTTACGAGTCTCTGTAAACAATTTCGTAGTCCCTTTACCCAGCAAATTCGCGGAAAGCGTTCAATTTATGATCAGTTTTGCAAGTAGTCTGAAGCGAGGAGAGTTAACTTTAGAAGCATTCTTTCCAGGGTAAACGATTGCAATAAAACGCACCCATACACAGATGCATCTCCCGATTCAATCGTGTATAAAATTCAAACTTGAGCTAATAAAGACGCCAGCTCTATATTTGAACGTATGGCTACCACCATCAGCTTAAAAAAAATTATTTTCTCTCGAGAAATGATAGGCTGAACAATTAAGGAAGTTATTGATGGGCCTAACTTCCGCTTCACTTCCGGCTTTAGTGGGCATTTGTTAAGCTAACTTCGCTCAAGACAGTGAAAATTCTGCATACAACAGCGGTGGAACCTCTAATTTAAACATCATGGATTTTAACTCTCCTGAAGTGAAGCAAATAATTAAAACAAAAGCTTTCTGTAGCGAAGATGTTTTGCTCCCACTCATCAAAAAGCGAAAAGCGGGTGCTATTCTGTTAGTTCGAAATAACAATCGAATTGTAAGCGACTTGTAGTTGATTTTAATGATATTAAGACGCTACCTTACCGGTTACTTCAAGTGAATTTATGAAGCACAGATTTGGAAACCAGAACTAAAAATTTATGGCAGTAAACAGAAATACTTTGCAGCTACTAATCAGTTTATGAATTATCCAAATCGCACCAAGACAAAGCATAATTTCGATGGAACAGCACAGTGTGTTGTGTATGGCTTCAAAACGACCTTTACCACAACATTTGATCCACTAACCTTCTTTCAAAGCTGAAGTGTCTCCATAATAAACCCTGGAAACTGAAACTTCGGTATGTCCGTGTTTCTAAAAGCCTTCTAATGAACTCTGCTTTCCGGGAAAGTCCCTCGCTACCGACGTGACACGCTGTTCATAATGCAACCGTGAGAAGATTGGGGAGAATAGTCATTCTAATGCATAACTCTTTTGCGTGATGACGTATATTTACCGCATTTGAGCCAAAATTCTTACGAATCTCTGTTACTTTATTATCAAGTGATATTGTTTTGATTTTAGAGAATTGGAAAGACCATCCGATTTAAACGAGTTTTGAGGATGAACTTACTAATTCCGACGTACACATACAGATGCCTGATGGTACGCTATATAATCAAGTTTTGGGAACTTTCTTAGAGAAATATATCAAGTGTAGTGGGATTACAAGAACAAAACATAGGCATGCTACGCATGCAGGAGTTATTTTTTTGGAAGTGTGGGTTGAAATGGGACACTTAGTAACTGATTCTGGTGTCTGAATAATTGTTGGCAATAATAAACTGTATTGATCATGACACCACGCTTCAAGCAGTCCACTCCACAGCCCTTATTTGAACTCACCACGCAATGCTCTCTCTTTAACGTTGCGGGACGAGACCAAACAAAGACCTGCTCGAAGGCTATAATAATGCTCACTGCCGCCTCTTCACCAGAGACAAAACCGCAAATATTATTCTCTCCGTAAAGGCCCACAATCAGTCATTCCGTTTGGTTTTTCCTGGCAGAAAGATGCACAATAGGCGTTACGTGGCACTTTTTAATTGGCTTAAAGCAATGTGGTGGACTTAGCCTGGAAACGAGGATGAGTTTTGGCATCGAGTGTCAGTCAGGATTAAAATGCTGGGCCGATAACCAAGCTTGCTACAGTTTAAACTTATCTTTCGAGCGAACTTAGAAAAATTTATTTAAAGCACAAACCTGGTGCTGTAAATTACTTCTATTGTTATCGTACTGATGAAAACAAGAACCCTCGTGAACAGTAAAAGTTCGCTGTCGTATGTCAATAACCTTTGGCGATTGGATCTATTGATAGATTAATATAGCGGACGAAAGAACTATACTTTTCTGACAAAAAAAAAACTTCTGGAAGTCACTGCCACATACCCTAACTTTCAATCAGTCAAAAAACTTGCGGTGCATAAAATGCCTTCAGTGATATATCGTTCCGGGCCAAAACAAACCTCAGAGGTTTGTTATTAGATGTAAGCAGAAGAAATCCTTATAAAAAAAGTCATCGCGTTCACATACAAATTTTTATTGAGCGACCCCGCATATCCTCTAGCAATTTTAGTATTTCCAAATTGTCATGGATGACATCAACTTGTTCCAAAGTCTTAATCTCCACAACTCTCCATGTTAACAAATAATGAAAAGCACTAGACAGCGATTTTGCTAAAACAGCAACGCCTTCAATTCGAACCAATTCAATTCAATCCGCTGAACCGTAGCCTGCGTGCAGCCCCACTGGTCCTTCGTCACTTGACGAAGGACCACTCGACGAAGGATCAGTGGGGCTGCCCGCAGGCTACTGAACCGCAGATCCGGCCGGAATATAGGCTCCATGTAGCCTCTTGTTCAGTAACAAACAGTCGCTTCGAAATATTCTTCCATATAATTTTGCAGTGGAAAGCTCTATCTTATCTCCAACAGCCTCTAGACAAAGATGTTTTCCGGCCTCCGTTCTTCGAACAAATGAAAATAGACTGAACGAAGAAAAAATTTAGAATATCGTTTTTTAAAGCATAACAACGTGGGCCTCTTAATTGGTTGTTGCCTATCTGGACTTTACCCCGTGCGTGCCAAACACGTGATAAAATGCAGGTTGTTTACTGGGAGTTGACACGGAATGGGGTAAAGTCCAAGGTAGCTGAGAACGAATTTTATTGGTAGAAAACGTCTGAGCACGTGAGAGTTGTGTGGAAAATTGACCTACTGTACCATTATGTTCCTTGTGAAATATTTTTCAGTGAGGCAGAATTATGTCATAAAATTTACGTTGTTTCCTGGAAAATGACATTTCACCTGAGAAAGTCTAGTCCATATTGGCGAGTAAAAAGTAAACACTTAATTGTAGCGGGAAAGTATTGTTTAAACAATATTTAATTCATGGACAACTTTTAGAAGCAAAGAAACGGATATTTAACGTGGCAGTCGACGCAGAAAATAATAGAACTTGGTGGTCTTTTCAACGTTTACAAAAAGAGCAGCCACAGGGCTCCTTAAATTTTACGAAAGCTTTCGCTAGGAAAACTAATATTCCCTTCTGAGGAAGTTTTATCCCAAAAAGGACTTACGTTTTTCTTTTTTATCTCGTTAATACTTGCAATTAAAAGAGGAAATAATGCAATCGAATTTTACCAAATTTTACATGAAAAAATTTCTCAGTTCTGATTGGTTAAGATGAATGCAGTTTTCAGTTAATTCAGTGCAGAAGAGAGTTAATTCAGTGCAGAAGAGAGTTAACTCAGTGCAAAGAAAGAAACAAGCTGGACATTCTGATTGGTCAGAATGATTGGTCAATGTCAATATCAAGGTCAATGTCAATGTCAAGGTCAATGTCAAGATCAAAGTCACTTGCAGGGTTTGAATAAATTATCTTTGCACGTGATGCGCCCGCTTTTCTTCTGCGTAGTTATGAGAAGCTACCTCGTATTTTTTCATCTATATTATTAATAGATAATCACGTGATTTTCTCGTGCAATTTGGAATAAATAAGCGTTTGTAAATTTTTTCAAAGACCACAAATTGCACTCGCCCTACGGGCTCATGCAATTTTGTTAGTCTTTGAAAAAATTTACTCGTACTTATTTATTTCAAATTGCACTCGAAATCATGTGATTACCTATACTAACATTTTCTTGCGATCTTCACAAAAGAGAAAGAGACTCGCTCTAAGAAACCCCTACTCTTACTCAGAAGGCCTGGCGAATGAATATTTTTAATAGCCATCTTTATTAAAGCAGCCTTTTCAATAATTCACCCTACATTATATCTACATACCATATGGATTGGATAAAAGCTACACATTTTAAATGCTAAATGAATGGCGGATGCAAGGAATAAGAGAGGGGCCAAGAAACCTTGCAAATAAAACCTGTAAGCATTTTTATTACTAGTCTGAAACTAAAATTCTAACAACGAAAGGACAACATATTGCATCTCGGCTAGGGGCACTGAAATTTCACTTATACTGAAGCATTTCTTAGCTTACTTAGGCTCTAGTTTGAAAAGTAAAGACCCATGGCTTCCGAATCAAAGTTTGCTTCTACCCCCTTCCCCCAAATAAAACTTCCCATCCCCACCTTCCCCCTCTTGAAACTCCCTCTCCACCTTCTGCCAGCCAAAATTTCCTCTCCCCCCTTCCCCCAGCCAAAACTTCCTTTCTCCCCTTACCCCAGCCAAAACTTCCTCTCCCCCCTTCCCCCAACCAAAACTTCCACTCCCCCCTTCCCCCATCCAAAACTTCCCGGATCTGCCATTTGTAAATGTTTAGCTTTTACAGTCAAGTCTCAGATATGAGAAGAAGATGCTACCTTTCTATAACATCAAGAAATGGTTAGATGTTCTAGTCCTCGGATAGGGACGAATAAATGGAGGTCCCATCTCCTGCAGGATTAGGGGTAGGAGACGTTAATTTCCCACGCACGAGATTACTGTGTGATGGATGTCCTCCCCTGGGGTGGGATGGGTAGATTAGAGGGCCACAGGATCATCAGTTTAACTACTGTCACGTGCTCCCCTCTCGAAATAAACTCTATTCTATTCTATTCATTCATGTGTATCAATACTTTTAGACACAGTAACTTGTAATATTACATAGGATCTGCAACGAACTAGTTTCATCAAGGGTCTCATATTTACGTAAATTTGATTCCGTGACGAAAATACTTCGATAAGAAAATGACAGGAATGGTAATCAAAATTCTTTAGTACTAAGTGAAACTAAGAAATACTAATCTGTAAGTAACAGGTTAAAAGATCGCACCTCAAGGACGATTCAGGAAATTATCCTTAACTCTCTTTAACTGTCTATGATAATTATTGGAACACTGCGATAACCTGCATATTTTCTCCACACCATTTTTACATGAGAGCCCCTTCAGCTTTCCCATTCTAGACGAGTATCACGCAAAGCAGATATACATATAAGAAGCCTATTCGCTTCTGATACAATGAAAAAACTTTTCGACTGTTTTCGGAGTAATATGTTAAGTGAAAACCGACTCAGAACCTTCTGAAACAAGAACATGCCCTCGGGTTTCCTTCCCGTTCTTGAATACGCACCTTCTGAGTGGTTGCATTGAACTAAGACTAAGTCTACAGCAGTTACATAAACTCTTCGCGAACCTTGTAGGTTCCACACGCACATGTTAAGTCTCTCGGTCAAAACATTATGGCTCAGCTTTGAAAGTAATCAAATCTGCTGTGTCTCTTGAGCGCTAAGAAGGAGAGGACCCTCTGACATAGCCAGTTCCTCTTCCTTGCAATGTTCTCCCTCGTCACTTTTGTAGAGATCGTGGAATCCCTTATTAGTTCGATGCAACCTTTGCCAGAAGGCTGCACACACCGATTTTGGTGCCTAAAGAGTATAAAGAAAGGGTTAACTTTTGGTCTTGGATTAAAAATGCTTCGAGTGTTCCTTACTGAAATCTGGAATGCCATATCCCTCTCCTCTCCGAAACAGTTTTTTTTTATATCTGAACTAGCCTGCAGTTCAGGTGTCTTATTAGGGCGAGTTAAGGTTCTAAGCTCGTGATCACTTATTCCAACGCCATGTTTTATTTGGAGTCAGAGTGGACGGTGGTGGCCAACCTCAGCCCCCCTACTTATTTCGGATCGTCACCCACCTCCTCGGTACAATTTGTTTTCTCTCCCCAGCCTTCCGTTGCCATAAAAATCTAAGATGGCGGCCATTTTTCGCTTAGAAAAAATTGAGCACTCGCTCGCCCAAATTAGGCCTGATCTGCAGGTTACATCTGAGCTCTGTAATTGTCTGAATAGGAGAGACAGATGTCATGCACCGATATCGGAGACAAACCTGCGATGCATGTAGCTTATTTAAAACAAATAAAGAATAAAAGAAAAGGAACTGAAAAAAAGGCTGAAGGGAGGTGCACCACTATGGCATAATATGAACTGTTGAGAATTCATGACAAACGACACAGCAGATTTTTTATATCCGTGATACCAAATTCGAAAGCCTCAACCATTCAGTACCCACCTCGCCATCTTTAGACTGGGTGTCTTTATAACACGCATAAATCAGTTCCATGGACAAGACAACCAACCCAGCAGCCACGCCCACCGCTAGGGTGATGAAGACCCCAGCCAAGTCACTGAGCTGAAGCTGGTCGCCGCCCTCCTCAGCTGCTTCCTGGGCTGCCTGTGTCTCCGCACCACACACACTGCGGCTTTTAAACCATTTTTCTTTCATGCGCTGCAAGAACCCTTCTTGCTGCAACTCCAACATAGCCACGCTAAAGTTATGAGTGTAAGGCGAATTGCGAGGGAGAGCGAAGCCATAGTTGATACTACCAAATGGTCTGTAAAAGATGGATAAAATTGGTGTTTATAGAGACAATTTGTAGATTGGGAAGTGAAAGGAAGGGGGGGGCATCGATACGCTCAGCAAGGGATTCAACCCTTCCCTTAAATTTTTATCCTGTGTAAGACAAGTGCGATTAATCGGAGTAAACAAAACTCACGTTCGTATATTTGGATAAACAAATCTCCCTCCATTTCACTTGATTCCACTCTAAGATGTCTTTTCAAAAGACGAACCCAGCAAATTATGTAATAGTGAGTCAGAATTGATCCACTTGCACATGCCCTATACGTTTGACCACTGTGTTAGCGTAGTGACCGGAGAGCGCCATAACACAACCCTGCACAACCTATGAAATTTACATATTTACCTTTCGACAAGAGTCAATGTATTACACGGTTCTTGTTGCACGTCATATTCAAGTACTGCCGAGTCCCAAATGAAGGCGTAATTTTCCGTTTTTCGCACTTTTTCAATCGCGGCAGTGTGATTGGGTTCAAGAGTTCCATGACGGACAATGGAATCCCATAGTTTCTCGTAAACTGGGAGCTTAGCCTCTCTATAAAAGGGAAATGATTATGAGCCAGTACTAGTTTAGATAGTTCTCTAACATTTAAGGAACAAAAAGAGAACCCTCCGCACAAAACCTTTTTCGTTGCATTGCAAAGCTTTTAGCTTTTCATTTCACAACACTGCGAGTGACGAGCTGGGATCAAGCATGGATGGAATCTTTTTGAACGGTTGGTCAGGCAATGCATTTCAAACTTAGCATCATTCTTCTGTTCTTTTGAAAAGAAACTTAATATGTGGAATAGGAAAGGGCAACCTTTTGGTGGCAGCAGAACTTTGTGAATATAAAATTACTCCTTACAAGAACTCTCATGAGTAATTTCACATGCAATTGCAAAGAACGCACTGGAATTTTATACGTAGCAATTTTTTTGGTACTTGTGTAGACTAGAACCCATATGTCTGATGGGTCGGGAGCGGGGGAATGGACCTATCTCAGAGAAATGGTCTTAATAAGTTCACTAGCGTAGCTTTCAATTTTACAATAAATGAAATTGCCGGCACCATCTGTAAGGTTCAACATGAACTACACCGTTCTCAATAGGTAAGTTACTGGCTGTTCATACTCGAGCATTTTGGCCAGCTGACCACCACGCACAGTTCCAAACTTTACTTTATTCTGATTGGCTAAATCTTCAATGCTCTTGATTGGATGTTGATATTTGTTGATGGTCAGGAACGCAGCCAGATTAGCGGTGTATGTGGCACCAAATATGGAAATAGCAAACCACCTCAAGTAATAAAGGTTCAGATGAAGATCATTCATTTTCGTTAGCTCAAAGACTGACAAAATAAAAGCACTGGGACTGCAGATTATTTATCTATCGGTCCACCAGCGTGATAAACCACGCGGGACACTGTGCGAACAAAAGAAAATTTGGTAAATCACCAGCCAGAGGCGGTTAACTGATAGAAAGTGTGATCTATTACTTGTCTAACATAACCTTGATTTTTCTATCAGTGCAATAAACGATAAGTTTTGACTAATCAGGGCCCTTGTAGTGTCTAATTCATTTTATAAATATCTATAGCCTTTTTCGAAAAAAGACTGAAATAGACTTTAAAAAGAGCTCTGCCGAGAACATAACGCTTTTCTTAAGCATTTGATAGTTGAAGATGAAGCGTTCTGAGGTTTCTGAAACAAAATCTCATAGATTTTTTTTCCAAGGCAAATATTCTGTCAGGATTGGCTTGTTGTCGAAGCCGTAAAATGTTATCACAGAGAAAAGGAGCCGAGAAGTCCATTTAATCCGAGAAATATTTGCTGAGACTTAATTTTTCCGCTGTAATAGAATTCAGTGTTAAAGAGTCCAATATAGAATACCAGAATCATCAAATCGTTGCTTTTACCGACATAGTTTTTCTTAGATTACACCCCTGTTTGGTATACACATGATCTGTCTTACCATGCTAGTGTAGTCGCTCTGCCAGATTGAGAAATCGGGTGCAAAGTATCTGGAGTCTGTTCAAGGTAAGAGGCAACTGCTGCCCAGAATGAATGAAATAATGATAAGGTATTTTTCGCATGCGCCTCTTCGCCGCTGACTTCCGCTGACTGTACCACCTTGCCATAGTAGCCATACGGGCTCAGTCGGTCATAGATCCAAACTATAGTTCCTATGATCACTGATGAGCTGATGATGGGAATCCACAAAGTCTTCTCAAAAGGATCTAAGAATCCCCAGGTATTAACCTTGTTTTCCATGTCTGTCTTCTTCATAACTATCTTAAATCCCAGACTGTAGTAAGGTTGTGTAAATTCTACTGCTTTTTCGCGTTCAGGGCTGATTGTTATGGTTGACACGGCCAGGTTAGCTTTCTGCGGAGGGTAAAGAGTCAGTTCGTGAAGAGACCTGGCATTCCAAAATGCAAGTAACGAGTATTTTCACCGTTAAAGCAACATATAACCCTGATGTAGGGTAGATGGGTGAAGTCTGCACTCCAGCCAAGTCAGTGGCCCCTCTAGCTAGAACTTTAGTAATTAGTAAACAATTGCAGAAGTTGTTTCATTATTGTGAAAGGTGCTGATAAAAGCAGAAATTGAAGAGACAAAAGACTTAATAGCGTTGACAGGACTGTACATCAACGAGGAAAAAATTGCAAGGTGAAGCTACTGTTGGCGAAAGATGGTGGATTATAACAATGTAATAAGATAGAAAGGAGAATATCTATTTTTCTGTGTATGAAATCACACAAAGGCCCAATTGCTGTCGAACTTTGAAATAATTAATTGTGCTTTAATAGCTATTGAAATTGTTATCGTACCAATCTTGGACGATGATGCCGCTGTCATTAAGTAACGTGGCGACTATTTTTCGTCCCCCTCCCCCTTATGAATGCAGCGC